ACCAATTTCATGAGTGCATAGTCATTATAATATACGATAGACCGGCATAACCAGATATTAAGGACATTAGGGTTCAAAAATAGGTGGTTGTAATATTTTACAGGAACACTGAGCACACACAACGAAATCCAAATATAAAAGAGTAAGGTGGTTATTTTATAATAATCACAGGGAAAACACTGAGTGCACACGTCGAAGTTCAAACGGAAAAGAGTAAAATGATTATTTTAATAATCTAGTAATTTAGTAATTTAATAATTTAGTAATCGTATTTTGGTAATGCGTTCAGTCGTAAATGCGTAGGCTGGAATAATGACCACACAAATCACATCGGTTCTAACTACTGTTCCACTATCTTCATTTAAAATCGGTGTACATATTATAATTAACACTACTCAAATGTCAGAAATGTTCTGTATCAACTTAGAAAAAATTAAATTCAAATGTTTTTTTACTAGATTATCAAACGACTTGGCATTCAATTCAACATTATGTCATGCATTTATACAATAATTATACAATGTTAAATACTTTTGATATATTTTGTGCTCTAGTACCTATGTAATAAAATATGATTACTTTTAAAAATTGATGTTAAATTTATTTAAAATTTTATGATCCTATGAGTCCTATTTAATTTTGATAAATGTATGCATATTATGATTGTATATTTTGAACTGTTTACAAAGTAACATACATTAATGGTTCATAGAGGAGTACCTACGTATTTATGCATATTATGGTTGTATAAAACTGTTGTACAGATGTTGAAAAGTGATGTTATATAGATGTTTCATGAAATACATCTCTGCGGTAGAATTACAATCGCAGGAATAGATGTTTTAAGCTGTTCTACAGATGTTGAAAAGTGACGTTTAAAAGTTTCATGAAGGACATCATTGCGGTAGAAATAAGATCATGGGGATGTTAAACGTACTTCGATGGAACGCAATCTGTGATGTTACATGTTCCAAAATAACATCCTGTTGACATTGCTAGATCAAAATATTATATAGTGGGGAGAGTCTTGATACAGTATCTATAGGCGTGGGGTACGGGGAACCTCATATATCCTGGGAGCCCGAATCGGCCTGTTTTCAGACGTTTTCACCCATTAGTGCAAGCACCTTCACGCCACTCTGTGTGACAATATTTGGACTTAGAAAAATTATTGAAGTGTAATAATAAAATTCACAATTATACAACAACTGTTTATATCATTTATTCATAAACCACGACTATAACATCAGAAAAAGTGTCTTCTACCTGCAGCGTTAACGTACTGGTAGCCACTTGTCTATTATTTATACTACAATAGTACGTCGCCTCAGAATGAAAAGGTTCTAAATCAATTTTTTTGAAAAATGGTTTTTTTGCATATAATCATTTATAATTTTTTGTTGTATAATTCAATCTTGAAATCGGATCGATCCGTTGATTATTCAATGAGATACAGAGAATGAAAAGGTTCTAACTCATAAAAACGTGAATGATAAGCGCGAAACCGAGAAATATCAGTTACAACCTTTTCATTCTAAACAATAATTAAGAATGAAATAGTTCTAAACGGTATTAAATGTAATATCTCAGAATGAAAAGGTACCGTTATAATACGGTTATACCACTGGTACAATATAAATTATTATTGTGCCATAATAAAATATTATTCCAGCATTCCAGCATAAATTTACCGTCTATTTTTGTTTTGTTGAGGTGATAAGGTAGGTAATACCTACATGCCACATGTATATAGTACCTACTTTAGTATTATAAGAAATGGTACATTTAAATTTGAATTACGTTTTTGACATTTTTCATTATTGTGAATTATGATTTATGCCGTTTAATTTATATTGTTGCGTTTTCAATATACCCCCCTTCCCTACACTAATTTATTGCGCCAATGGACCATACAATTGTAACTTATTACTTATAGTAGGTATGTCCAGGCACATACACAGCAAAAAAAATTCCGGGGGTGGGGGGACCCCCCGCCCACTTCATATACGGGTATGTAATAATACTTAACTTAAAAACTAAAAATATTGCATAATAAAAAAATGTATAATTTATAACATAGTTTACACTAGAAGTTGGTATCACTGCATAGAAAAAATTATTCAAATCAGAATGAAAAAGTTCTAACTAAATAAATAATTTTTATTTTCAGAATGAAAAAGTTCTACACGTAAAACCTTTTAATTCTAAAACTAATATTTTGGTTTTTTATGATTAACTCAGTCAATAATTGAGGAAAGACAAATTGCAGATAAAGTTGTGTTCTTTGGAACTTTCTTGATATTGCATACAATTTTCACGATTTAGTAATTATGGTGAAAAAAGTTATTCAATGTCCTACTTAAAAACGTTCCCCTGAACAATTACATAAATTGCGTTAGAACCTTTTCATTCTGAGACGACGAGTAGGCACCGAGCGTACCAGCACGTTACAGTAATAACAAAACCGGAATTCGCAGTATATTTGAATTAAAAAAAAAATTTGGTTAAAATGTCGAAGACTCTAAAATAAACGTGACCGCGGTATATGAATTATGAAGTAACGAAAAAGTCATACAAATATAGTATTAAATCGCCAGTTTTACTTATGATGCATTTAAGTAGGTATAAGTAACGATGATTTATACAATTATACCACAACTTAACATAGTTTGGTCTTATACGTCATTATAGATATGTTCAAAAATTAAAATTAATACAAACCAATATATTTTGAAGAATTGAGTAACTTTGGCGGTGTTACTTTGCAACTTGAGTTCTCCGAGTTTTCACCATGATTTGACGTTTTTTACGATGGAATATCCGGTAACCCCTTATTGGTTACCTATAAGACACGACAAACGGATACGAAATTAATATATTGAGATCAAAACCTAATAGTGAACAGAAGAAAACAATAAAAACACAATTTTAAAGTAGGTTAATACTGTCGTCGACTATAACTTGGCGCAACAGCTACGATATGTGGCGGTGTGGGTAAGTTTTCAAGTTTTTCACGTCATTATGAGAACATATTTTAATAATTAATAGCTCAAATTTATTTCGTGTAATGGTGTAATCTCGTGTGTATGTCGTAGCTACTTCGTGAAATCGATCTTTTCCTGAAAAGATGACCATTTCATGAAATGGAAACGGATATTTTACACTTCGGGAAATTCGAAAATATTTCACAAAATGGTCCCTTTTTCATGAAATGGTCACTCCAATTCAACATCGTGTCATTTATTTCACAATCTGGTCGCTCACTTTGTGTACTGGAATACAAAATTCACACGTCAAGTTTGATTACCCATATCCATTATTATTTATTTAATGTACATACTAAGTATACTTATTTATGACTTCTACAATACCATAAGTATAGATTATATTGTAAAGTTAAATTAAATGTATATTATTACCTATACATAGTATATACTTTATGACTATTTATATCACATTAATATATTGTTCATATTATAATAATTTTAGATTCTGAGTGAAACGATGAATGTATTGATTTTACAATGATGTGTTTTTTTTTTATTTCAACAACATTTATAAATAAATGGTTGACATTTTCATACGGAAAAACTGTAAATACTTCACACAAAACAAAAAAAAACAAGATTTAAATGAATTTGTATATTATTATTTATTACTAGGGCTGGGATTTTAATGCCCCAAAAATTTTAAAAATTTCAAAAAATGACCTTAAAAATGCAAAAATGACTTAAAAAACTCAAAAAATGCATTTAAATTATATTTATTATACCTTAAAAATTGGAAAAAAAAATTTTAAATAAAATTAATGTATTTTAGATTCTGAGTTGAACGATGAATGTATTGATTTTACAATGGTGTGTGTTTTTTTTTAATTTTTTAATTTTTTTTTGTGTCTGTAATCACGTTTTAGGCCAGTAAAAATGCTTGGATTATCTTCAACAGTAGCTTTTCTGATAGGAAAGTGAACCTAGTTGGTACTTTGGGGGGGTCAAAAGTATAAATTTCCTAGTTGTTTTCAAAAGCAGAGTGAAAAACAAAATAAAAATTAGGAAAAACGGGAATTTATACACTAAAATCTGTTTTTGAAAAAATCGATTTTGGTTTTTGGTGCAAGTTTTAAACAAATGACCGTAGTACTGAATGTTTATATTAGAATTTTCTATACACGATAACATTTTCAAAATGTTTTGGTTTATTTTGAACTGTTTAGGGACATTTTAATTTTCCATTTTTTTTAGTTTTTTTTCTAAAAATATCAATAAAATTTTATTTGTTGTTTAAAAAAGCTTGAAAATTTAATACAAGGCTCCAAGTATATTGTTACAATGGCGTTTGAAAAATATTAAAAATCCTTAGAAACAGTTTTTTTTATGAGCATTTAAAGTTCAAAAATTGACAAAATATGGAAAAATCACGAAAATTAGCAAATTATTTTGAGTTAATAATTCGTAAAAATTTTTCTTTTTAAATCTAAGGTTTTAAAATGTAATACAAGATTCCTTATAAGATTATCTACCTTTATCAAAAAAAAAATGTCTATTAGAAAATCAAATTAAATTTTTATAAGCGATTGAAATTCAAATTTTTACAACATTGGATTTCTCAAGTAGCGATTTCCTTATTTTGTTGTAATTCAAAAACGAATGACTGTAAATACATGAAAACTTCACTGTATATTTATATTTTTCCGATACCATATCTGACATGTTATTTGAACGACGTTCTTCCCACAAACACTGAATTATATAGCTTTATAGCCACTGTATATAATATGGTTGTCACATCTTATTTATCTTTATGACCTACGTGGCTACATCGTGGTATAGTAAGTTCGAAGTCCAACGACAATGATAAAGTACACTTACACGAATGATGAAAAATGCCTACCTTTAAAATAATTGCAATAATACAAAAACGTATATTTTAAAACGACGACTTCTTATAAAATTTATCTTATTTTTGGGTAAGAAAGAATGAATGAGACTGTAAAATAAAATATGTTAAAATTATATATATGTATAGGTGATAAAGATGTAGACAATATCAACAAACCATTAACTCCGACTAAAACTTACGGAAGATCGAGAAATGAAAAGACTGAGCTTATGTTTCCAAGCCCATCTTCTACTACAGATACCCCTAAAAGAAAAATTATAAATGACTTAATAAATATGCCAACACCAAATTCAAAAAGGTTGATTTACTCGGATGAAGATGACACACCAAGAAAAAAAAAGTTAAAATTAAAAATAGATCAACAAAAAATTAAACTACGTAATAAAAATATCCAAGTTTGTAAATTAAAACAACGTGTAACAACATTTAAGACTCGTAACACATTACGAAGTCTTATGTATTCGCATCAATTTCGATCAAAAAATGCTAGAGCAATCGTAACAATGCAACTTAGAAATAAGAAAATACCTTGGACACTAGAAGAAAAAAATATGGCTTTGACTTTGTTCTACAAATCCCCAACAGCCTACAATTTTTTAAGGCTACAAAATATAAACTTACCAGCTCCATCGACCATTCGTCGTTGGATCGGACAGTCAAAATTTTTACCTGGCTTAAGTGGCACATTTTTTAGCCACATTAAAAAAAAATTTGAACATAAAACAAATAATGAAAGAAGTTGCAGTATAAGTTTTGACGAAATATACATAAAAGAATTTTTAGAATATTCAAAAGACTATGCCTTCATTGAAGGATTTGAAGATTTTGGACATTATGGTCGAACAAATAAAAGTGCGAATTGTGCGAACTATTCGCCGTGGAAATTTCCAGTTGCGTACTTTTTGGCTCATTCAGGAGTAAAACATAAATTACTAAAAGATTTAATAATTGATGTCCTAAGTGAATTATTTAAAAGCGGATTGTGTCCTAAAGTATTAGTTTGTGACCAAGGCACAAACAATCAGAGTGCATTAAAGTCGTTAGGTGTAGATGAAAACAATCCTTATTTCTTTGTAGAAAATAATAAAATATATTCAATTTTTGATGTTCCCCACTTAATAAAAAGTTTAAGAAATAATTTAATAGGTTGTAGTTTTGAAAAGGACAATATGACAGTTGCAGTTTTTAGTGATATTGAAGCAACATATGAAATAGACAAAAAAAATATAAAAAGTAAAGCTCTCTTAAAAATCACTGAAGCTCATATCAACCCAAGTTCATTTCAGAAAATGAGAGTAAAATTAGCCGTTCAGTTATTTAGCCACACTATGGCGTCTACTATTCGTACTTGTATTGAAATCAATGAATTAAAAAGTAAGACAGCAAAAAACACAGCTGATTTTGTAGATTTTATTGATAAATTGTTTGATTGCTTGAATAGCAGAACATTGTATAGTTCAAATCCATACAATTGCGGATTATCTGATTCCATTATTGTAAAACCATTTTTGAATGAAGCTATAAAATATTTTATTAATTTACAAAAAAATAAAAAAGGCAAAATTACTAAACCTCCATGTTTTAAAGGCATTATACAAACGATAACAGGCATTCTTCATTTTTTTGAGGAAGAAAAATCCAATAACAACGCAATCAGTTTTATATTAACTTATGGGTTAAACCAGGACGAAGTAGAAAAATTATTTAGTATTTTTCTACAAAAAGGTAGCTACAATAAGAACCCAACAGCGAGAACGATTAGAACGTCATTTAGAAGTACTTGTATATTTTCATTATGCACTTCTAAAGGGGCAAATTGTGAAAATATTATTGAAAATATCGATTGCCAAACAAACAAACAAGACGTGACGATTTTTCTGGAAGGAGAACAGATAATGAACATCGAAAATGATCAATCGTCAGATACGAATTCAGAATGCAGTTCTATTGATGCAGTTTTATCAGTTCAAGAAAATTTAAACACAATACCTGTCACATTAGAGGATTGTTCGGTGACATATTTCGCTGGATATCTAGCATTAAAATGTATCAAAAAATTTAATTGTGAATATTGTAAGGATCAATTAATTATAGAGAAAGATTTAAATGATAAGAATCAAATACTTATTATAAATAAAAATTATTCATCATTTAACACGGGACTTAAGTCACCGGCGAAAATATTTAATGATAATATAATCGATAATATTTTAAATATTTTTGAAAACAATTTTAACAACGTGAAACATAAAAAAAAAAATCAGGAATAATTTAACCAACAAAATACAAAGCAATGAGAAAATTAAAACATGGGTTAAACTTAATGCCAAATGTGTTGAACATAAATTATATATTATAGAACAACTTTTGATTTGTAAAATATTTAAAAAAAACTAAACTTTATGCAACAACACCAAAATTAGCGAAAATCGAAAAATTAAAAATTTTAAGTCACATTTAGAATACTTAACTTAAAATAAGATATTTAAAGCTTATTTTTATACAATACATTATATTATTATATTCAATAAAGATTATATTCGATACTTATTATTAAGTATCTAACAGTTTATGACACATGACATTAATATTATTATACATAAAAAATAATATGAATTTTGTTTATAATATTTTTATTTTACTTTGTAAGGGGGGCTAATATAATATAATCAATGGTATAACTTGCCTTAGGTTAGATTATTTATTTAAGTTTACGTGTGTATTTTTAAAAACAATTGACTAGGTACCTCTATTAACCGTTTGATTTACATGTAGGTATATTATTATTTTTTACGTTTTATATGGCATAATATTAGTTATTTAAGTTTACGTGTGTTATTTTGAAAATCAATGACTTGAAAAATAAATTTCATATTTTTTTTATTCAAGCATTTAGTGTTTAATGTATGCTTTTTTATTTAATTATTAATACTTTTCAATATTTTAGTTTTTTATTCTACAAATGTCAATAAAATTGTCTTCGTTAGGTCAAAAACTTACAATAGTACCTACATTTTAATAACATAGTCATTCTATACTAGCTCTATTCAGAATAAAGCAGCGTACACACTTGTAATATTTGCGCGTATTAATCAAAGGCTTTGATGCGGCTAAATTTAAACTAACTGGGCGGTCTGATAATTTAATATATAGATATATTTTTAATATATCAATATTATTGTCGTTGACACCGTGCGCCAGCCGTATGCTCGAACGCTGTGGATTCTTATTTTAATTAATAGTTATTTACAAATACATCAACGACACCTATCGAGCGCCGATAACACTAAAGTGTTTGCTTCCATTTCGTCCTATAGCATGGCCTATCTGTATATTATAAAATCAATGCTAATAGAAATATATTATTAATTATTATTTATTATTTATTTTTTGACTAAATATATTACAGGTTTATTGTTGGACGACCGGCCCAAATTTGACAATTTAGACCGGCCCAGGGGGATATTTCCCCCAAGCCCCCCTAGCCAGTCCACCCCTG